TGGGATAGGTTCACCCCTTCCTCGATCATGGAAAACATCACCAATATCCCATGTTTGCAGTCCCACCGCAGATTCGTTAGCTGGGAGCCTGGGCCTGCAGATCCACTCTAACTTGTACGTACCTTGGGTAGGGGGATCTGTCGAGCAGGGCACACAGTAGTGAAATTACGCGGAGGATGTGAGTTCCCATCACAACAGTTTGCCTATTTACTGCCACATCCACCTCAGTATTCATACAAAAGCCATCAATGTTCGTGTGTGCATTGTCTCTTCGCTTGTGCTGGATGATGCAGGTGGGATGAGGATACTACTACCTATGGAGACCCGTCTTGGCTGACGGAGGAGGGTTGGCAATCAACATCGGCGGTGGGTCGTGGGGTTAATAATCGATTCTCGAGGACGAGCTTGTATTGCTGTACCCAGCGTTGGCGTCAGCTCGTGGACAGCTGTTTACCGGAAATGGTTGGGGTTTACTTGGCTAGCGGCTGGACGGGCGGGGTATCTCTCCAGCTCCGTTCTTTCTTGGCTTCACTGGAACATTTTTGACGTTTATTCTCGCTTCTCTTCGTGATGACGACGGCACACAAACAACGGATTTCCGATGTGTATGTGGGGGTATGGACATTGTTGTTTTCGCCTTTTCTATGCATTTGATCGTTTTTCTCGGCAAAACTCGCCCATGACTGAATGATTTCGTTCACCACTCCATCCATCATCATGCGTTCTTGCTCAATCTTTTGCATCGTCCCGGTATGTTGAGCTTCGCATTGTCCGTTGCCGCTCTACACTTGTGTTCCTATCCCATTGCGATCTGTCGACCAAGAGGGGGTGGAGAGGGGGGGGGGGCGTACTCTTATGTTTTGCATGCCTTAGCGGTTGGATCATTGACCACGCGTCCTCGAGAGGACGGAGCATTGTTCCAACAGGACCGATCACCAATGGCCAATCGTTCCTTCCTACTTTGCCAAAGGTGGCTCAAGAATGTATTTCCTAGTCTATCTATCCTATCGATATCACTTCCCGCCTTTTCAACCCACTTCCTATGCCCCAGTACGGCTATCGTCTTTTCCTTGCTATTCCATTCCTCAAACATCTCCCTGTACCTTCCTTGTATTTTTCCCTGCTCAGTCATGTACACTTCCCTCTCCTTCTTGTACAACGAACACTCCGCAATTACATGAACCCGGTCTTCGCACTCGACGTCGCAATCCCATTTGAAGTTGCCGTCTTCATCGTCTACATTCCGTAATCTTCGTCTACGTTCTCGAAGGTCGGAGGAGCTTATTTTTGTACGCCGCTACCGTTCCGCGCTATTTGTTTCATTGTAAGAGCTCCTTTCGTCCAGCGTCTGCGGGCGGTAATTGGCGAAAAATCGTGCACGTGCTTTCGCCCTAGCTGCCCGTTCGAGACCGAATGTTCGCAACACGAAAGGAAAAGGCTTGCGTATGATAGGATGAAAGAGCCCTTTTCGGCAACACCGGCTAGATTGAGTTGACAATCCAGCAAGGAGAAGGTTATAGTCCCAGCGACGGTGGGGATAACCTTGGATCACCGTTATTGCCCACCCACCGCGGAAAACGACTTATGGTAGGTGAGGGGGTACCTTTTAGAGTACGATGGTTTCTTCGCCTGCTGGAGCAAGGCGTTTCCGGCGACGCAGCGCAACCACTGGGGGGGGCTGGAGTCCGACCCGGTAACGCTCTATACAAACGGCGTTAATGGGGGGGAGAGCTGGATGTACATGGTCATTGTCGTACCGGCGGTGAACACTGAGGTATGCAATGCTGGATTTCAAACGAGGACAAGAAGCAGAAGCTGTTATAAGTTATAAGAAAGCCTCCTTCTCTGTTCTGGAGCTGACTCGCGGTGGTGAAGTAGTGCACTACTTAACTTGCAGCGGCTCGGGAAGATGAATCTCGTGGGTGATCCAGGGTCATAGCTACGTCCAGCGGACAAATTTACTCACAAACAACCAGCATTGACGTCAAGTAAGAAGTTTGAGGTCGTGCTGACAAAGCGGCGTCCATCGTCTTGTGCTGTTTACTGCTCTTGTTCGATGGCACTCAAACGCCGATCTGTCTCGTAAGGAGAGCTTGACGGGATACAGCCACAATCTCGACTCCAAGGCCTTCTGGAACCGGTTCTTGGAGCACATCTTCGCCGTCCTATTTTTCGCATGGCTCTCGGCGGGGTTTCTCGCAAGAAAGGAGTTCCGGGTTGACCTCACAGAGGCTCACCTCATGGAGGTACAGTGGGAATATCGGTGGAACGAAGACAACAACGCTTCGCTAGAAAACCGTAGAGCACACCCAACACTGACACGAGTGTTCACGACACATTCGAAAGATATCTCGGAGCCGTCGACGTTGTAGGTGGAACCATCTTATCTTGGTGCTGTCATGCAAGTCAAATATACAACACCGTGGCCTACGGTCAGAAGGAAATGTAGCAGAAACCGAGAAATTTCTGAACAAACTGCACGAAAACCTCCTCGACGAACACAAAATCGGGGGAGTGGGGGGGGGCAACACGACATGAGCGTTTGAATTTGGTAAGCTTGGTCCACATCACGCATGGCGAACAACGATGGATTACGACAGACGGCGGTAGCACAAGGCAAGCAAAGGAACGTGCTGCGCCATCTACTGGCGACCCACGGCAAGTCAGAGAAGAACGCCGTCTTCAGGAGAAACCTGTGCTTGGCGGCCTTCTCGACGCGGTTGTCGCTGCTGGTCCCGGTGGTGGCGCTGTGGGCGTGGGGACTCGCCATCGTCATCACGGTGAGTACCTAACCATGTATGTCTCACAAATGCACGATTTGGTATCACGCACGAACGGTATACACATTCTAGCGGCCACCCAGGCAGGAGCGTTGGCGGTAACCCCGAAAAATATCTTGCGGATAGTGTGGGAGTTCCACTTACGGCGACATGTGACCTTTCCGCATTTCGTACGGGTTGCAGAACGTGATTGTGTTGGTGAGTACACATTGGGAAGGAAATCTAAAACTGTAGATACGCGGTCAGAAATTGAAGGCTTGCAGCGCAGATGATTTTTTTTTCTGTGGCCCCGGATCAGGGAGGAAGCACCACAGGGTACAGAAGAAGCCGCAAGCAGCGGTTGACAAATTATACCGATGGCGAAAATATTAGGTAGGTAGACAAGTGTGACGTGGTGGGCGTGAGGACAGAATACTCGAATGATCGCATTGATTTGCGCGATGGGGGCGCGTTTGAGTCGATCCATCCTCGACAAACCTAACGTCCGAAGTATCGTTGCGTCGGCATGCTTGCGTCGTGCTTGCGTCCTTGTTTACCGTCTGCAAATTTGGTTTTCTTATCAGAGATGTTTCGTTCATTCGACCACAGTTGCATGACCTCCATTGTTGCACGTGTTCCGTACCACTTCCGTATCCGCATGAGCCCGTTTGTCTTTATCTCAACTTTTATCGACAGGTTAACCCCCCGGCGGTGGGTTTCCTGTTCTGCTTTATTGGCACATCGTTGATCATGGGCTGGAACGGCTACAACCACTGGAAGTGAGTCAGCCAGATTCTTAAGATGTTTTTTTGGAACATTTTTTTGGCTGCTGGGGAGGTTGGGTGACGGCATGTGATTATATACTCGGATGCTTGGATGGTTTGCCATTGTTTCAAACGAATGACTCGTTGCTTAACCTGCTTTGGTCAGGACACAGCAAACCACATACGTTCACCTGCCTCCGCCCCCCCCGCCCCTCTCTGCTTGGACACTTCACTCAACCCCACGCCTTAAGACCCCCCTCCCCCCTTTCTTGTACCAAACCCCTCCCCCCTTACCCCCCACGCCATATTTGGAAAGGTCTCGCGGGTGGATGATGACCTGGCCTTCGCTAGTCTGCATCCTGGGGGCGGTCTTCTTCCTTATGGCTTTCCTAGCAGCTGAGGTTTTCGTCGATCCCGCGGCGTACTTCGGGTCGGGGGACCTAGATTTCTGCGGCCTGACGGGCATCTTTCTCACCCTGGACATGTTCCCGCTTGTGTTTTTGCTCTTCTCCAACGACGCAAAGGTGAGCTGCATGCACCCGTATTTGAATTTTCTGGTACAAAGTGATATCTGTGTCTCCAAGCGCTTTTCGCGAGCTCGATTTCAGCAGAACTCCTTGGTTTTCTGTCTAAGTGGACTGTGTTTGTTGTTCTGGAGCGTGTTCACGCACCGATGTATGTCGGTCTCTTCCCCCAGCCACCCACTTTAAGTTTCCCTTACCCTCGATGTTTTATGAAACACAAACCGCGCACCATTCCACGACAACAGCTGCAGCGCTCGGTCAATAAGCTCGGAGCCGTGGTGGGACAGGTCACCCGCCTCGAGGAACTCAAAGGGACCAACTCAAAGTTTGTGAGTTCCAAGTTCGTCTCTGAAAATACCAAGTGGTGCAAGGGCAGATATTATGTTGCGTGCAGCGAAGGGGGTGATGAGCGTAAACAACGCGACGGGGGCATGCACTCGGACAGTAACCTCCGGGGAAATAACGTTCCGTGCCCACAAGCCTTCGATTGTGAACCATCCATTCCATGTTTTTCCCGTTGTCCCCATCAGCTAACGCTTTTGTAATGTGATGTATAATATGGAACGGCCAAAGTTCAACATGTTCAGGTATTCTGGTAGCAGTAAGTAGCGCAACGACACTACGAAACAAATGCTCGATTTGTTTTCTTTCGTGGTATGGAAGTGTCGATCAAAATTATGCATGGTTCCTTTGTTTTCGGGCAGTCGCCAACGCTCAAGCGTACGCTATCGGAGGAGATGATGCTGAACATGGGCGAGGTGGAACGGCCGGGGCCGAAGGGGGACGACGCGGGCGATGCGGGGGAGCTAATGGCCAAGAACCCCTTCTACTCTCTTCTCGGGGACTGCTACACGATCGTGGTGCGCGAGACTACTACTGCGGTTACTAGAGGAAGGAGCAACCCTTGGGAATATATTGTGACTTGCCTTTAGGATGCCAAGAACAAAAGAGAACGCTGTGAAGAAACGTAGAGCACACCCCTCTACCCGATCTTGTTGTCACTGTGAGTGTTTGGTGGTGGCGCTGGTTGTTGCATCCTTGCGTGATATTCCCGACAAAACCACGAAAGTCTTGACCATCCTTGTGCTTAGAGTCCCTAATACCATCCCTACAAAAGGAGTACTTGCGATATAGGTCATACTTCCCCGACATATATGTCCGGTTTCAAAAGACGGGGTTGATGAGTACAGTTTGTTCGTTCGCGTTTAACCTGGACGTCATCTCGACACTTTGTTGCTGCCGCTGCTGCTGCCGCTGCTGCACCGCTATGCGTTTGTTGAGCAGGCCTCGATAAAGACTTTCCGTTTTAGTGACCTGTTGTCGGCCACCATGAGAACCTCGCTCACCAAGAAGAAGCGGCGGGATAGATCCCTGTACGCGCTGTCCGTGCTCTTCCTGTTGGCGTATCTTACGGTGTCGGCGGCGAGGACGTCGCACGCACACGTGAGAGAAACAGATGGCGACAGAGAGGGCGTGATCAACGTCTATCTAGATTTCAATTAGCAGAAAGGGTAAGCTTTGCACCTGCTGCACGAGTATTTAGGATGTGAAGAACCAACTGCTCTTCTACTCCCCCCCACCGAAGTCCTTACATTAGTAACAAATGCTATCAAAGCCGAAAATCAAAATTTCCTACCCCGCATCCCACTGCGCCATGCACAACAACAGCTGTCGCTCCTCAACATCATCACCCTGGTCCTCCTGGACAGCTGTCACTACAGCATCCACCGCGGGTCTACCTATTGGTCTCCCGGCTATGGCGTCATGCTCATGGCGGCCGCCCGTGTGTCCATCATTGCGTTCATGAGCAATCTTTGGATCGTGGGCTATTCAATCGCGTTCGTCATCTATGGCGGCGCCCTCATCCGCGCGGTAAGTTGCTTTCCTTTTCTCCCTGCCTCCTGCCCTGCATCTTTCGGAGTAAGACAAGTAATTTTCGCAAAGAGGAAAGGGATTGTCGTCAGGCCAGGCCACTTCGAATAGAAGCTGGAGAGGGCGGGGGAGGACGAGGCACGGGGGAATGACGGGACAAAGGGAAAAGTTCTTGGTAGGGGGGCAGAGGACGGCTGTTGAAAAGGAGCACCTGCTGGATCTGGGTGCGAAGAAAGTGGTCTCCGCTTAACAAGAATCTCTTTGTGTATGTGCGAAAAGCGGCCTCCTGCTCCACGCATTGATACTACTCGGAGTACGCCTCTATACCTCATCCCTTCTCGCTAAATCTATCTTGTTGGGTGCGCGCGTCTCTCTCCCTACTCCTCGACTCCCATTGTCTTCCCCACGGCTGTGTGTTCATACTGAGCTCGTTGGATTAGCTTGACATTGGTAGTGCGCTATGAAAATCGCCGGGCACGACGGCAACCACCATGCCTTTTTCCTTGCCTCCCTCCCACCCAACGTTTGCGTACATGGTACGTTACAATCCCCAGGTAGTAACCCACCGCCTGCCGCGGTTGAATCAAGAGGAAGCTGGGGCCGTCGTGTTTCTTGGGCACGACCCGAAAGGCATCAAGTGTGACGACATTGCGGCGAACCCCGAGGTACCTACCGTGCAAACTGGCCAACTCGACCGTGTTCTGTGTACTTTAGGCGCATATGTGCCCATATGTCTGTCTGATTAAAGCAGAATAGGTTGGCTAGTTCATGCACGACACTCAACCTTGTTCGGGTCTACGGTCTGCAGAGCGGTGCACGTCCTACGACAAGCTTCCGGTCGCTTTTGTTTGTTGTCGACGACCTGTCCTGACTGGTTGATGCACACCGCTGCCTATTCACCGAATTTGATGTTGCTGTCCTGGTCGTGATCTTGACTGTTGTCGCCGTTCCCTTTTGTCTTCATGTCTAACGTAGTTGGTCCTTGGGTACACCAGCCTGTACTTCGTTCTCGTTCTCGTCGTACTGGCCTACGCCGAGCCGTCGGGGCTTCCCACACCGTCGATCCGCGTATGGGGGCAGGAGTGGCCGGCCTACATCTTCACGCTCACGGGGGTTCTAGTGGTCATGTCTTCCGGCCTTTTTGTGGCATGCCTCAGGTGAAATCAACAGGAGCTGTGCTATTGGTCGCTTGTCATGTGTGTTGGTGGCGTTGCCGTCGTCCCAAGGCCGAGCCCGACCCCATCTTGGCTAGTTTACGCTATCTCCCCTGTCGTGACCGTTTCCACGCAACGCACGCTGCCATACACTCCGATCAAAACCGCCCGATAATCTGTCGAGCATGGAAATTGTTACTTCTCTTGGAGTTCACCCCTTTCGGCAAGCAACAACAGCACGGTGGGCACTTTGCTACAACATCATCGACCGCTTCCCGCTCCCTCGTCCCAGCGATTATTCAAAACTAAGCTTATTGACGCTAGGGTAGCATATCACCGACTCCTTTCCTTCCTCGTCGCTATCTCTTCCCGCCGTAAAACTCCTTTCCTTCTCTCTCTCATGGCAGGTCCTTGTCCCTAGGTAAGCAGGGTCTCCTCCCAGCCAAGCTCGGCGCCGCCTACATGTGGCACCCCGCGGTGCGCCTGCCGACCATCCTCGCGGCCGCGACGGGATTTTCGGTCTTGTGCACGGGACTGTTAGTCTGGGCGGCGACGGGTTCCTCCGCGGCGTTCAAGGTGTCCCTCTGTCTGCCCGCCATCGTTCTGCTTGGCCGTTCGACGTACAGGTACGTTTGGGTTTGGTATCAGAGAAAGGGCGTGCGCGACAAGCAATTGTATCCTGAAATGAGAAAAACGTATGTTTGGGGTAGCTGGCAGAGAGTGTGATGAGTCAAGCATGTTGCGTTCTCCAAAGAGGGGCGGGGGCTATGGTTCGATTCACTGGAAAGTCAATGGAATTGTCATTTGGTTGCTTCATGGTTGCTCTTGTTGTGGTGGCGTGTTGGCACGTATATCTGCACCCATGTTTGGCCTGCTGCAATGTGTAGTTGGCAAAAGACGTGTGGATGGGTCTTGAGAGGTACATATTAACTCATATCGCACGTAGAATAACACGCTGCCTTGCAATAAATAAGAATCTAGGCCGTTAGCCTGCTTTGGCTAGGAGCAGCTCGCCATGAAAAATTATTCAGAACAACGACAATAACAACAACAAAAACAACAACAACCACTTTCTGATAAACGGGACAGTCGCTGGGTCAAGAACGACTACGAACTGGTACGCTGGCCCCCAGACGTCGAAAAGGATAAAGCAGCTGGAATACACGTCGCCGGCGAAGAGCAGGAAGATCATACACCTGACGCGGCACAGGTATGATACACCCCCCCGTCCAATAAAGTACCATAGACTCGAGTGCCCCCGGTAAATGTACAGGGGTGCCACTAACGCGCGCGGTGTCGATAGTTGCCTGAAAGAAGAGATACAATTGCTATGGTGGTGCCCAATGCAACATCGTAACCTTGGGTTACTTAACGTTATTTGCATCACGTCGGGTTGGTTGCGGAACATCATCGTCAGCTCGCCGCCGGCATGCTTGGGGATCTGTTCAGTCCTGGAGATTTCGGAGCTTCGGACGGCGGCGGGTTTAAAGATGAAGGGGGGGGGAAGCAAGGAATAATTCTGCCAGAATTCCGCCCCACCGGTGAGTTTCCAGGCTCACCCTAGAGGGCAGGTAAATGCCCAGTCCGCGAGGTAGTCGTCCCGTAGCGCTAGTTTGACGGAAACGCGTCCAAACATCAGAGAAGTGCCTCGGGGCCGTTGAGTTCCCACCTATCGCAAAACACCGTACTTCAAGTACTCTTGTGAGCAAGCGGCACAGGTAGTAGATGCCTTGGGTTCATGACATGACGTTGCTCGAGGCGTCGTTACCCCGCTTAATGGAGTAATTTCGCCCGGGAAGGAGCTTGGCTCCATAGTCTCACAGCAGGACAATGGCGGTCTGTTTTGAACAGATTCGATTGGACCTTCTGTCGCCAATCTAGAGCGTACACCATCGCGCGGCACTGTCGATAGAAAGGGAGACACCTGCAGGTGCCCTTTAGGCACGAGGGCCATTCCATTGCTCACAACAGCAACCTAGTTACGTGACCCGTTGCTATATCAATCACATTGGTAGGTGTCCTACGAAGACGAGAAGCAACGCATGAGTGGGCGTTTTGTGACGATACGATGGGCGAAACAGGCTCAAGAGGAAACGGTATACGTACATGGACACAGTTACCAAAGCAACGTGCGGAATGCTGCACAGCTTCGCTCGCCCGATAGTGCTCCGTTCTCAGTTAGACCTCGTCGACCCCGCAAACCATCCCCTTCATCCCCCACTCAGGCGATGCCTTTACCGGCGATATCCAGATGCCGGTGCTGCCCCTCAAGAGCGCTTTGCAGCGCACGCGTGCGGCTCAGCAGCGAGGAGCGGGACCGGGGGGGGGCGGAAATGAGGTGGGGTTAGCGAACCTCCACCTAGCACATCGTTTGTTCACGCTTGAGCTGCCTCCTCGTATGCGCCCTACGGAAAGGTAGCGACAAATACCGGGGCACCGGAGCACAGTTAACTCTACCTTTGATACTTCGAACTGATTCTTCTCGCGGTGGTGTACGTGATCTGCCCAACACTATCAAAGAATGAACGAAAATCGCATGAAGTTAAGCCATCCACACACCAACTAGTGTCTTCACGCCAGCCTCCAATTTTCGTGTCGACGTATAGACTTTTAGCGAACACATAACGAGGGTATGAACAGTTCCTTAGATGTAAAACGATCACAAGTCCTTCTAGCAAGCCCTTCTGGCAAGCCCTTCTTGCCTTAAACAACTCAGCAATTCCCACGAGAAACAGTACAACAGCATCAATCCAAACAAAGTACGCACAACAATCTCCAACCGAATCGTTTTACAGGGAGCGGGCCTGCTGAACAATGAAGCGTACGACGGTGACGGAGACGAAGGGGTCGGGGCGGCATTCGCGCAGTCGGAGGAAAAGGCCCTCGTCAGGCCCAAGTATGTGAGGAAGCAGCAGGGGGACTACGCCGCAGCGGGAGCAGCGGGCGATGTGGGCAGGGAGGGCGGTGCCGGAGGGGAAGAAGTGGGGGTCTGGATCAGGGCCGGGGTGGCCCTCAGCCGGTTTCTGGATGGAAAGGGGTCCTTGGGCGTGCTGTGTCGGAAGTGTCGCCGGAGAAAAAAGGTGAAGGCATGTCCGGCTGGTTTGGTATGGTTTTTTATGCGTCGTCGCTCGCAATTCCTGCAAGGGCGTAGGTCATCGCGGGAAAGCAAAAAGTACTCTATAAGTTTCGGGCCTCGCGGGGTGTACCCTCAAGGCAATAAAGTGTGCCCTATCGTCATTGGCAGCAGTCACTCTTTGTGTTGTAGATGCTGACAGCCTCGGTACTGCGTGTCCATACAACAAATTTGTGACCCTATCGACAGGCGTTGGGAATCATTGATCATGGTGCGTAATGTTTTGGTGGATGTTTTTTCGCTAAAAAACAAACCACTTTGAAAACACCACGAAGTTCGCTCTATGTTGCGAAAGCTCCCGACCAAACTGCCAAGCCTTCCTCGCGTTTGCCATCGGGACAGATTGGAGCTTTCGAGGGTGGCGTCGACGGCGAGGGAGAAATAGGGGAAGGAGACGTCGGGTACGGCACGCTTCCTGGCAGCGACGGGAACGGTGGGGGGAACCACGGGGACAACGCGGACGAGGAACTGGGCGAGGTGTGCGCTGCCACCTACCCCTCTGTATGTAGCCTAGCTAGTTGTACGTCTGGCAACGTCCTCAGCACCCTCATGCCCGGGGTTGGAAGAGGAAAACCACACAGTGAGACTCTCCTCGCTGAAACTGTTGCCCCAGAGCCCATCCACTTGGACAAATGCTGTGCTTTCTCTAGATAGATGAATACCGACCCACCGGTATCTGCGGTACAACGACCACCGTGTTCTCTAGATCACCACACGAAATCGCGCGCAAAAAATCAGGTGCGAGTGGATAGCCTCTCTTTCCGACGCGCGTTCCTGGAGGGCTATCTCTTGCCGCACGAGTACCGGGCGTGCTACGGTTTCGCCGCGTGCGTGGCGCTTACCGTAGTAATGGGCCTGCTGCTCTCAAGGGAGCACCAAGGGTGGATGGGACACCTGTTGTGGACGGGGATGCTCGTGGTGGCATTCACCTTCATTCCGGCTGCCAAATGGTTTGGCACTTACGAGGTAGGTAGGGGTGGGGAAATGGTCTTAGAGTGAACATTCGAATGCAACCACGTGTGAAGGGAGGGATCGTACTTGACGGATGTTGGGGAGATGGGACCTTGCAAAAAATCACCTCCACATTACCCCCTCCTTATGTCAGCCTTATTGTTTGTTACCAGTAGGCAAGAAGGCTTCTTAGGACCGACCGGCTGGCGGCGAGCGGATGCACTTCTTCACAATCTTCGGTGCGTGCTTGGTTTCGGTTGGCATGTTTACACCTGCCGCACACTCTCTGTAAAATCCTTTGGGTCACACCAGGTCGACACCACGATGAAGCTCTCTCTGTGGCTGGCCGGAATCATTCTCACAACAACGTGTGCACTGACATTCGTCCTACTCCTCGACGCCGAGGCCTTCCGCGACCAATCGCTCGCGGTGTTGAATGCCCTCCTGGCCTACCCGATCGTCGTCTACAGTGCATTTTCCTGCTACCAGGTGGGTGGTTTGGGCAGAACTGAACTGCTGCTTCATAGTTGATGCGCAATTTCCGTACCCGTGGAAAACACTTCCTGGGTTCCGGAGGAGGTAGTTTGATATATGTTGTGTCTTCTGTAAATACAAGCAAAAAAGAAGACAGTCTACTCACGTGTGGGGTCAACCACGGTTTGCAAGCCTGCTTGGGTGGCGTTCCCGACCAGGAAAGCGCTCACTCCGTCAACGCCACCCAACAGGCAACATACATTGTAATGTTCTCCCGTCTCTGTGGGAAAAGGTTGTCTGCTGCAAAACGTTAGACCACCAGGCAAAGGCGTATTTACGATCAGCGGTCCCTACCGGTTCCGAAACGACAACAAAGGCAGGGAAGGACATTGTATCCGTGTCAACACCGGAGTCTTTAACACCTAGGCGTCATGTATCTGGGAGGTTTTGGACAAATTAACTCTCTCTCTTTGGTCTCGCCCTGGCTGCTGATCAATGAATGCTTAGTTGCTGTCGGCGTCCTCTTTGCTGATGTTGCTGTACCCCCACCGCAAAACAGGCCATGGACGGCCCGACTCCAGAGAGAGTGTCGTCCAACTTCGACGACAACGGAGAGGAAATGGAAGAGCCCCCTTCCAAGTGCGCCACGCTGTACCACAAAACCGTCGGTCGCTTCGTGTCCTTTAAGGCCCTGCTGGCGGTCGTGACAGCCCTCTGGCTGTGGCAGAGCTTTTTGTGGGGCGGAATGTACACGGGGTGCGGGCTAACCGTCGCCGTTGCGCTGGCCGGAATGGTGGGGCTGATCATCCGAGACTACCTGTCGCAAGGATCCATGGTGTCCAGGTTCGCGTGAGGGATGTTGGGTGTGAACGGAACGGGCAGGGGATCGGAGCGCGGACTATCGCAAAATTGCGGGAAACCAAAACGGAAGTAACTCTTGTGGTGTCGCTTTGTCTGACCCTTCAACCCACCTGCTTCCTTTACTGGAGCACGAACCGCAAGGGTTCAGTAAGTTCACGAACACTACCAGTCTCGGCGTATGTTGACGACACGATCGTCTCGGTAAAGGTTCCGCAATATCGAAGAAAGTGTTGATACGTATGACAGCGGTTATGTGATGGGAAATGCTACCCTTTATGAAGGGGATCTCCACAACAACGGTTGTTGTAGTCGATAGAGCACACACACCTTCCCTACGCCCATGCGATTCCAAGGCCCCAACTTCTTGTATCGACAGATTGCGGTGAGCGTGCCACACTCCAGAGACTATTTTGTCCTTCAAAGCATCCTCTCTTGTTCCTGTGACCTGATGGCTGAACGTTGAATATTTTCTTTTGCCGTGCCCCATTTTCCATCGTTTACACATGCTGGATCTTATTGTTAGCCTATGTCTCGTCGGACCCACCGTTGCGTGCGTAACGGCAGGTCTAACATCCGCGGAACGGTTCGCCTTTTCGCGGACACCGTCATGATCGCTTGCCTTGCGGCCGCGCTGTGGGGGGTCGGGGCGGAGGCGTTCTGCCTTACCGTGTTCTTCGTGGTTTGGATTCTGCGCATAGCCCTCCCCGTCGCCACGCGCTGGTTGGAAGCCGAGCCAGACACGGTCATCTACTTCGCGCCTTGGGTAAATAGAGTCAACCTGCCTCGAGTTACGGTTTCCTGCTTCGCGAAAGCTCCTTGGATGGTCTTCAATTTAGCTCAGCCTCATCTGTATCTCCCATCCCCTGACACTCCAACCAAATGTTAACGATAACGATAAAGGTGTTCCCCGCCTATACGTACGACCCGCGGACTGGTAATCTGGTGGACGAGACCCACGTCACGCGGCAGGCCTTCTCCGGGCTGCTGGTTGGCGTGGCGTGGGGCATCGCCGTGGCGATTTTCGTCGAGCCTCTGGGCATAGGCGTGGTAAGCGAGAGTCTCATAAAGGTTTTACTTTAGATCGATTGGTTAGATCGATTGGCGAGCTGAGTTCGTTCCTCCGCTGACGGGTCGCTAGAGCGCGTCAATCAGTGGGTAGTGTAGATGACGCTCGGTATCGTTCGTGTAAACAACCCTTATGTTGTCTCAGGAATATCGCGAACACTCCAGTTTTCCCAAAAGTACCACTCGCGGTTCTTCCTTATGTATTACAGCGGTCACCTCGGCATGTTGACTCCTGAAACAGCTGTAAGACGGTTCCTTGATGTTTGCCTACCCCCACGCCCCCAAACCTTGTGTAAACACCGAGCAACGTCACCCCCAAACGTCTGACCGGCCTCTTCCAGGGTCAACACATTAATCGTCGATATGAAACTTCTGTTGAAGACAGCTCTTATCGTGTACATGGGCATCGCCTTTGTTGTTGACTCAACCGTTTTGGGGAGTGTGACAATAAACGGGTGTCCCTCGTTCATCTAGGAAAAACGACCCTCCAGGAACGACTCGTTATGGCCATGAATGAGCACCCCTCCCCGTCCGAACGACTAATCTGTGTCATTCGATTGACCAACCATTAAAAAAAAGGCGATCGCGTGCGTGTTCATGATGGCCCTGGCTTCGGCCGTCGCGTGGTGCGTGAGCTTCTCGCCTAACCGCCTGGGGGTCGCGGCACAGTTCCTGGACTCATCCTTGGTCTTCGAGGCTGGCGATGTGGCGAGGTCTTGCTTCGTGTCCCGTCACGCCGTGTTTGAGGTGACGTCTTTTTTTCCTGTGGCGTGACGATGTCGCCATGTCGCTCTGCTCGCCGTGTAACGTTGATGCCATGTGATGAGTTTGTTTTTTTCAGTGTTGTGTGATGTTAAGCAAAGAGGTTCAATGAGACGTGATGTGATGAGACTGGTTTTTCAGCGTAATCTACAGGGGGGGAGGGGGCGTTGCTATGGTGAAGCAACATTGTTGTTTTAGGTATGACGGAGGTATTGTAGCTATATATCGCGATTCCTCATTTCTGGAATACGATCGTCCGAAGCAATGGTAGTGTTTGAAGGCGGGAACGACATTGTTTGTCATTGACAAGTTCAACACACACATGTACCTATTGCGTTACACCTTAAATGCACAATCAAACCAGGTCGAATGCGAAGAGTTTGCAGACCAAACAAACAAGGGCTACCGTGGCGCCGACGGCAGGATCAATCCAGCATCCAACGCCGCCAGGATGTTCGAGGCCAGAGAATCCGCCGTCGATCTAGCCGTTGGACTCGAAGAAAAGGTACTCGAGGCCCACGATACCACGAGACCTGTACTTTGCTCTTGCGCGTTCAACACAGGGTATCGCGGTACACGCGGGAGTCTTACTGCGGCAGTCATCCCCTTGACCATAAGAAAACAACCGTCTACCCCATTGCACTATTATCCATAGCAATACATGCCCCAAGCTTGGAACAAAGTCAAGCTTTGGCTCTGTCATGGCGGTTTCCTGGGTGACCGCTCCGGCATTTGTGAGTGAGTCGGATCTCGCAACTGTAAATCCATCGCACCACACCGATGCGTGACCATAACGATGCGTCACAGAATAGAAATCAATGAGAGTGGAGTTTCATGTCCTCATAACTTTTTCGAATGAAGCGCGTCCGCTGTGTTCGTCCAACCCTCCGATCTGCACCTCGACCACGCTTCACTCACTTGCGACCACTGCTTAAATATCCGAGTCTATTGCAACTCATGCACGACGCCAAATAACAGAACAAGGCGCTGAGAGTGGTGCTCGACGAAGAGACAGGGATCTACGAAACGAGGTCAGACTCGCTGTACTCTTTCGGAGAAGCCGTCATGGAGGCATGGGTATCTGGGAAAGGACCGCTCGGCCCGATCGGATGTTTCGGGTTGTGGTTCGGAATACTGGTGAGCTACAATGTCCCCCGCAGCATCTGCTTATGTGCTTGTGTATGGTTGATACCTCCAAGTACTCTTGAGTTCACATACGCTCAACTTCTTCGACAACGGACCGAGCTTGCATTTCTGTTTCCCCTATAAGAGCCTATTGGAGCCCCCATGTGCCCGTAGCTCTTGAAGCTGACACCCCTGACCCTTCGATAAAGCAACAACAGCCTGATGCACCCATTCTTGCCTCCCGCTCCCTCATTTTCTTTCGTAGTGTTTTCAGCTCTCTCCTCGTCCCCCCCATTCAACCCCCTTGCCCTTCTCCGCCACCGCCTGCTCAACACATCACCATTCCCGCGACCGGTTCCTGTCGTCATCAGCGGCTCTTCGCGTTGGTCGGTCATGTGTGCTGCCGAAAGTTGGGAGCAGCACACAACCCGATCCTTGCGCGCTACCTCCCGGACGGGCAGAGAAGGGACGCCAACACTCTTTCTCCACCCATCGATCACCCGGACATTCTGCTCGAGGTAACCAAAGGACCGGTTGTTGCACCACGCTCGCTCACAACCCGCGCAATCAAGTCACGATATCCTTCCGCTGTCTATGGCTTCCACCTCGACCGGCCAAACTACCCACCGCAACATCCACAAACGCAGAGTGTGTCGGCGTTTTAACGTCGCTCTAATTCCTATCTTTCTTCCCCGAAACATACAGATTCTGGACAACGAATCAGTTTTCCGGGGAGCGTTCCGGGAAGAGCTTATGTGCATGATGCACTTCCAGATTCTCGTGCTGCTCTCCGCTGAGGCTCGTCTTCAGCGCGAGGTAAGTAGACGGGGACCGAGACTCTTATCAGTACTTTGCCGCTCATCTTGTTGAGGAACAGAGGGTGTCGTACGGCCGTAAGCTCGACGAAGAAAAGCTGACAATGTGCACTCGCTTTCAGACTGGTGCAAGGCCATCCGTGGAGTCCCGAAGTTCAGTGGGGTTTAGTTCTCGATCATCACTGTTGAAAAAGTTGAAGAGTCTATCGTCCGTAGCGTTTAGTTCGACTCACCACCCTTCTCCCAAGCAACAGTTGTACGAACCCAGAGCCGGTTCTTATCTCTTTCTCTATATCTGACACACTTCTATGTTTCTCCCTCTCTCTATCTACGGTTTCCTGCAACTACAGGGAATCTTATTCAGAAAGTTCTTGAAGGAAAACCACTTCAAGCTTCTGTCTAACGGAATCGTGCCGCCGAACGCCGTCTTCAGCAGCGCTAGGTACGTAAAGCTGTTAGCTTCGTGTCGTCGCCATCCGTGCAGAAAGATGGCACCCTGACCGTTGACAGCAACAGCTGAATACGGTGTTCCAGAGATTGAATGAACACCGCAACAGTTTTCTATCCTCGTATGATCTGCCTAAACTATGCAGCTCGTTCTTATTTGAGTTGTTTCTATAGGTTGCCACAAGCGTCGTGGGCACGCGTGACTACTTCTATTATCCGCCACTTTGCCACTCTTCTTTCTTTCCTCCGTTGTGTTTCGTTTCTTTCATAGTTTCGCATCGGTGAATATCCCGATGATGGCGGTGTGGCTTACAGGGCTAACTGGGGAGGAGCGGGAGCGGTTTCAGGCGCTACGCAGAAAGTTCTCCGAAATACAGGTTATACGAGCAAACTGTGCGCTTCATCACAAGTATTCCTTCGAACACGTTGACAAATCCGCTCTCCCATCCCTCTTTCTCTCTACGGTATCTCTGTGAGACTTTGGAAGTCCGTCCGTGTGTTCTCTATGTTCCATAGGATGCACCGCGAGAAACCCGCAGCGAAAGTGTGTTGGCTATGTATCTCCAGCAGATATAGGATGCACAACGAGACCAACGCGCTCGGGAACTTTTTCGCCCGAGATATATTCTTTGCTAACTTTCTCCGCCCCTCTTGAGGGCGTTCATTTCACGCAAATATGTGCAGGGGACCCCCGCGGCCTCTACAGAGGACGTTTACAGAACTTTTTTCATCCCCATCTCTACAGGATCGTCCGTGTTGAGAATATCGGTGGTTTCGTGCGTGCCCAGTCGTCATTCCTGGCTGTGTCATTTTTTTGATAGCGCGTCACACCGCACAACACAACAACACAACCGCACGACCGCATCGCTAATATCTCCCGGTCATTTACTTGTGGCCATGCGCCACACTACACCACGTCACATCGCCACACCATCACAATAGTCCGACCGCGACCGCGCGGTGATTGAGGCGGACGAGGCCTGCGACAAAGCTGCCGCGGAGCTAGAGAAGGGAAGGGAGGCCAGGTCAAACAAGATGGCCGCAAAGCAGAGGGAGACCTTCGCGAGGAGACGAGCGGAGAGGGCGGATGCATGGACCGAGCAACTCGCAATACAGGTAGGTGTGTGTGCATGTATGACGATATTGCAGCAAGCACGGCTCCTTCACAAAACATGCCGCGGAGGGGCGTTTCTCTTCTGTCTGTAAAAACACCTGAGTACGATATCTATAACTTGATGCAAGGTTACCTAGCCTCGAAGGTAAAATTGTTGTCATGCATCAGTTTGGTGTCGTACCCGCCCGCCGTCCCTCTAAGCTATACCCTTCCCTGCCCTACTACTATCTACTCTACCAAAACACATTCGAACTTCAACAGGACCAGCAGATGTTTGCGAGCCTGAGGGCCCAATGGCTCAAGCACGACAACGTCACGGTACACCCAACCCACAAGGTGTGCGTGCCTACTCTGCTTCTGAATTCACCGCTGTCAAGTTGGTCGCCCTTTCCCACCTCACATATTTCTGAAAGAGGATGTGGTGACCGAAGGTATTTGTTTCAGTAGGTTCATGCCTTTGTGTGTCCGAAGAAAGTACGACACCTCTGCTTTCGGGGAAGTTGGTGCTTCTACTCCGACCTTGTCACCCCCGCCCCTCAAGATTCTCCGACAAGGTTTCGACCGAATGGGGCTCCTGCCCAAAAAACAAGTGCTCATTTTCCTACTCTTGTGCAACCGAAACCTACTATTAATAAGCGACCCCCCCCCCCCCCTAGGGAAAACATTTTTGAGCCACCTTTTGGCAAATTAGGAAGGAACGATTGGGCATCGGTGATCCGTCCTGTGGGAACTACGCTCCGTCCTCTCGAGGACGCGTGATCAATTATCTAATCGCTAAGGCATGCAAAACATAAGAGTACGCCCCCCCCGCGCCATAACGACTACGCCATGCACGGCTATGAGTACACCCCCCACCCCCACCCCCACCCCTGAAAAAAAAGCTACTCCGAGAGGGCTTTGAGCGCGAGGTGCTCCTGCACGGCGAAGAGGTTGAGACCAACGCCCGCGAGAGCCTCGAGGACATCGAGTCCCAGGGTCGTGGTTGCCGCCCGGGAGCCTATGGCCGGAAGCTGCAGTACGCAGACCCCGATTTCCCCCCAGACAACTCCTCCGTGGGGAATGCGCAGTGCAGGCAGCAGCTGGCCTCGCAGTGGAAGGTCTGTTTTGTTGGAGATTTTGCGAATTGCGGGATGGTAGAAAACACTTGTCGACCATCCCTCCCTACTAGTTTTGTTGGTTTGATTCGTTCTGGTGGTGGTGGTTGTGGTGGTGTGTTGTGGACGATATTGCTGTTTGCGTGGAGGCTTGATGTTGCGTGCGATTGGTATTATTCCGGTTGTTGTCGCGTTGAAGAAGAAGCGACGAAGTCGTCTGACATCAGGGTGTCGCATTCGTCCGAATTTGCAACTTGAACGGCAGTAAAACCTGTCGAAACGAAATCACATCCAGCAACAGCCAACAGCGTTGTTATTTACAAGTAGCTTTAGCATGCAGAAGATAACCACCCTCTTTGTATGACCCTTCATGTTGGCCACTTGTAGGTCTCACTGGCTGTAAACCCAGACATCAGGCTTTTCGATGACGGAACGGATCCAGACGATGTCCGGCGAGGAGCCTTCGCTGACTCCTGGCTGCTATCGGCCCTCAGCATCATTTCCGCGGCCTCGGTAGGGGACGGGGGTGTCGACGAACAGGTGTGTAAGCGTTATTGTGCAGAGGTTGACGAGCCCACATTGGTTGGGAGCGGTTGCACCGGCTTACAGCCCCTTTCGCATTTCGCATCGAAACGTATCGAGTGCAACATGATCTAAACGCCACACTGCCGGCACACAAAACAACCACCGCGGCGACATTCATAGCCTTCGACTCGGAGATCAAAGGGTTGCTGGACCTTGCGCGTTCGACCCCAATTTGCCACGAGTTGAACAAGCATGTCGTCGCTGCGGGCGTCGGGAAAATTGTTCATTTGTGAAAATGACCGCGGTCGCGGGGTTAAATGTTCTGACCTCCGAGCACCCCCTTAAGGACGAATGGACCGTTACCAACAACATGCGTGTGAGCGGCGTGGTATTGCGTCTTGCTGTCCTTGCACCCATACCACCGCACTGTGTTACCAGATCGCTCAGCTGTTCGTGAGTCCCATCGGGGGCGACGGCCGCCCGGTGTTGGAGTCCTACACGGGGGCCTACGCTGTGAAGATCACCGTCGGCGGAAAGTGGCAGGTACGGTGCTCGGAACGGTCATGCAAGCACACGACCAGCTGCCAGACACGCCTACGGGCCATCCGGCACTCGCGTCGCTGTTGCGCTTTCGCTCTTGCAGCATGTTGATCAATCGTTCGATCGTTTTTGATTGCATTGAATTTACGAACCCTTGTGCCTTCATGCCTATGTTGTCGATCCAAGAACACGGCCTGCCAAGGGCACGCCTAAAACATGAACAAGGTGTGCGAAGCCATGATGAAGACGTACCAAGCCTTTTTCTCCCTCTAGGAACCTTGAGAAATTAAGAGTAGATGCATCTCCTTAACCGCGTTCGCCACTGAAATCCCCACAATGCGAACAACTTGAAAAGGTGGTGATAGTGGACGACTACTTCCCCGCCCTCGAGACCAGCCAAGCGGACGACGACAACAAGGGACTAGCGGTCGGGCACAGCTACGGGGCTCGCGAGCTGTGGGTATCGCTCTTAGAGAAGGCGAGTGGAACCGTGGAGTCGCATTTACTGACCCCTAGGAATGTCGTTCACGCAAGTTCTCCCCGCGTACGTAGCCTGAAGTGTTCTTTGACGTGCTCTCAAAGCAACCCACCCATCGCTCAGGTGAAGAAGTTAGATTGACCATTACCAACGTTACTGAGGGTACACCAACATTTGATGTAGAGCCCGCTGGGCCACGCACATAACCACAACCATACACGCACACACCCACGCACGTGCGTGTTCACACGATAGCCACTCCTTCCGCCGCTGCCCCACCCCAGTTGTACCACCGTCAACCTCCTGTCCAACAATTTCCGTTTGAATTATGCATAGGCCTACGCCAAGTTCTTCGGCAGTTATGCCGCCTTGGAGACTGGCCACGTGCACCACGCGCTATCGGCCTTTACGGGGGCCCAGTCAGAAGAAATCTTCCTGGCAGGGGCGGGCAGGGGGGTTGGAAAAAAGAGCCTGTGGAAGAAAATGACCAAGTGGGTACTACAGGGTGCATGAGTAGGCGGATGGGTGTTCGGGGTTAAACAGTGGAAGAGGGAAAGTCGTCCACAAGGAAAGGCGCTATCGACAGCGTTTGAATAGTCCACAGTCCACAGCAATAACAAGCGTATTGACGGCCTAGCGACGTTGTTGCCCACACATCGGCGAGTGAAGGCCGCCTTGAGAATGTGTCAACTGTGCAGTATACGATCGAAGGTTTACATGAATAGACAGCGTGCATCTCTGTTTGGGAGGTGAAATGAATGTTTTTTTGTTTTAAACGTGACTTAGAATGAGGGGCGACTCGCAACAAAGGCGCGCAACATCTGTAGAGGACGTTCGGTATCACTGGTTACATTCTTGTCTAGAAATGAGGAATGCCCTGGGAAAACAGGAGAAATAATGACGAGAACCTTTTTCGATCGTTTTCCGCGTTCTGAGCCTCTTACCACAAGATCACCCTCTACCCACCCCCCACCCCCGGACCCCACATTTACTCTGGTAACGGACGGTGACGTGTGATACATGGCATCTGCAGGTACAAACGCAACGGATACCTGCTGGGGGCTGGTACGATCACCGGAAACCTCGTCGAAAAGCAGGTAACAAGTGACGTTTTCAGGACCGAAAGGGAATCCTTAAGCCAGGGCTACCAGACTCTATCTCTTGTACAGTGCCCACCTAGCCGGACAGAAATGCGTATTATGTGGTTTCTGTTCGTCCCTATCGCGCATGATGTGGAACAGTACCGTCATAAAAATCCTTTGGAGGACGTTGCGCTGTGATAGATGATATTTAAGAAAGTAAGACCAATGAGGCCTGTTCGCCGCGGGGTGTTTTTTTTCAACCCTCTACGTTTGAGAGCGCCCCGACAAAAAATTGGCCCGGGGGTGGCCACATAATTCAGACGAGAAAATAACACCTCGGGGTTTTCTCGAAGGTAAGGAAGGGGGGACGAAAAACGATAACCCCGGGGCGTGCTCAAAGTTTCTGCCAATCGCCGGCGGTTTCTTCGTGGAGGGGGGCATTCTCATGACGAGGGAAATTCTCAAAACCATTGCGGTATGTGTGTGACTTGCGCCGGCTGCGGTTCACAACGATCTCAGGTCCAGGACATAGGTCTCGTCTTTGGGGCGGCGTACACTATCCTGGACGTGAGAGACTCGGACGGGGAGCAGCTCATCAAACTGAGGAACCCCCCGGGGGACCACGAGGTACGCTTCGGGAGAGTACAAAGGTGTTCGGGAAGTACCTAGGGCGGCGTGTGAGGCAGCAGAGTTTATGGCTGCACACGTGCCAAGTACAGGGTGGTTTCTTGCGGCTTGCGTGATGTTGATCGGGGCGCGGGGATGGTGGTAGCGCAACTGATGCTGTTCGTCTAGCTACTTTTGGAACAATATATGGGAGTCAAGCAACCAGTTTATGGCTGCATCAATGGTGATGTGAGCATGTCTTTCCTCTTATGGAAAATAAATATACTCATGCTTCCTCAGCATACTGAGGCTTTGAGGCCGAAAGGTAAAACATGCTTGGAGCTTAAGCTCTGCTTATCGACGAACCCAAATGATTAGTGCTTTGCGGTGATTTCCCAAAATAGAGCAGGTCACTCTCGATTGACTTCCAGGTGACGACAGGTCGGGGGGGGTGATGTCCGTAAGTGATACTACGATTGTACCAGTATTCGGACCAGCCATTATTTGCCAAAATCTCATCGATCTGTTATCAGGAATGGAGAGGAGACTGGGGGGACAACTCAATGCTGTGGACACGCCGCCGACGGGCCCGCCTGGGGTTGGTGAAGAACGACAAGGACAACGCGTTTTGGATGTCGTTCAACGATTTCTGCGTCGTGTTCCGAAGCCTGTACGTCTGCCGGTGGTACGACCCACGGTAAGCGAGAAGGAGATAGGAGGAGAGTTTGGGCGGGGGGAGTTCTTGCTTGTGGCTTGGTTTGTTTTCTGGTCAGCGATCTGCTTCCCGACTGAGACGAGGGATACACTTCCTGTTCCTGACAGCTTGGCCTTAAGTTTACGGTTAGACACCCCAGATTATGAGGCGCACCCAGTAAGAGGTTCAGAGAGATATGCTAATCTCTGTATTGTCGAGGGATTGTGAGGTGCAGTTCTTTCTTCGAACCCCTGCCCCCGTGCCCGATGCGCACCCACCCACCCACCTCCGCTCCGCCTGCAAACACATTGACGCATTAAACAATAGGCGATGGACTCGCCTCGAGCAGTCGGGCAGCTGGGAGATGCGCGAAGATCTCGACACCGCAGCCGGCCTTCCCTCTGCCCAGCAGAAGGTAAAATCTTGCAGCCGACCAACTACTCTCTCGGTGGGGGAGAGTGATTCCCCTGTCCGTTGTTTAAGTAGCATGGAAGTACGATGGCGTCCGTACCCGAACGTAACGTCCGAGTGATCGCACACAACCCGGGCCGACTTTCACACATCGACTGCCACATAGTCGAGAGGTTGCCGATGCCGCGGTGGCGTTCGGCAAAACTCGTCGAGAGCTTTTCTTGCACGGACCCGTCGGTATTCGTAGTCTCTTGTTTACGGAGCAACGGAGGTCAGCTAGTAGGGGGTGTGATCACGTACTTTAACGGTGTTTCCTGGTACTACGAACAGCATGCGGCGAATGTAGAAAAACGATACTCTTACCCCGAGTCCTCGTCTCCCGTGTTAAACGTTTTGTGGTTCCTGCCGACGGACCTATGTAACCGAACAAGGTGTGCGAGTTGGAAAACAACCCGCAGTTCGTCCTGGAGGTGAATCGCATCACAGACCTCAAGATATCCTTGATACAGGTGAGGGCAAGCGTTTTGGCTTCAAGCACTCATTCCCCCGTTTAGATATTTTTCGGTGGGTTGGACACTTCGCTGTAACTACCTTACGATATGTGCAACCGAACGCAATGCGCGACCAAGTTCGCCAACCTACAAATGCCAGCAACACTTCGAACATAACTCCCACCCAACCCCTGATGCCCTCTTTCCTACGGACATACCGCACACCTTCTGGAAATTAAAAAAAATAGACTGACGACGAGGTTCAGCCAGCGGCGTGTTTCGTCCTTCGAGAGGACGAGGCGACGTCCAGCACACAGCCGGAGAGATTCCCTGCCAGAGTCTCGAGGCTTTCGAGGGAGGTTGTGGTGGCAAGTACAGGCCCCCCCGCGCGGCAGCGAGAGCGGAACATCTACGTGACGCTCGCGTCGGGTACCTACGTGGTGATGTGCGCCGCCTTCTTGGCCGGCATGGAGGGGTCTTTCAAGGTGCGGTGCAACTGGAGCAACTGTCGTCAGGGGGGGGGGCAGTGTCCATCGTGGGTGGACCTTTGTGAAAGGGTGTAGATGGAGCCATACATTGTCACACGCATGGGTTAATGGTATGGGATAGCTCGTCGCGCTGACAAGACGACCTTGTTTCTTCCTCTGTTCGAGTGTTTCTTCCATGAAGAACTACGTGGTTTCAACCCCCAACAGTCTCACGTACGTCTGTGCTCCCAGGAGCAGCAGGTCGGGTTGCGTTCACGTGCTCCTCTCTTGTTCCCGCCCCCCCTGTACGGCTTTGTTGTTGGTTGCTTCTAACTCCGGCATGGAGAAGGTGGAGATCACGACGAACTCCCCGCAACTCAAGTTCCGCAAACTTTGGCCGCCAGCCGACCCCAGCGAGCTGGAAAAGGTATGTGTTGCAGACCCACAGCGTATCTCTCTCCCGCTATGACCTCTACTCCACGCGCAAAATATTGTGCGCACGCACATACAACCTTCCCAACAATCACAAGCCGCTTTGTTTGACGCTCGAACGGCTATGACTATCGTCAATGCGAAATGAAACCCCTTACGTTGTTCACGAAAACCATCGAAACAATTTTCGTTCGAGTTGTTGTGCATAGACCGCTTCACGTACGACGGAATTGCAGGTTAGAGAAATTTTCCGGGACATCATGTTTCTGAATGTTGTGGATACCCAGGAAACACTGTTCGTGTGTGCATGAGCGGATGAGAATATTCCAACGGGACTGTAGGAATTGGCTACACAGATAGGAATTGATAGTCCCCTGGGTTGGTTTCATGGTTGATCCACGGGGCTCGACCCTGCGGGAGTGCTTGCTGTGTCGTGGCTCTCTCTCTCTCCCGCCGCGTCCTGATCGTGTCTGCTGTCCTAAATACAAGTGATACCATCATCTTCAACACACTTACAAGGGTATACTAACAAACACATCGCATGAAACCGTCGCAAGAGTTGGTTCGATTGAATTTGACCCCTCTTCCGTCGGCGCGTATTATGTTACCCGTCAGGCGTTCGACGACAGCAAAGCTGCCGGGCGCATCGCTAATATGGGCCTCGAGAAGCTGGGGGCGATGAGTGCCGGACTAGGCGACAAGCTCAACGACAACGCCGACAAGGCGTTGAATAAGGCCAGAGCTTTGGAGGTAAAATATCTGCCAGCATTATGAGCGAAATATGCCGTGTTTACGAAATGTGATACGTTTCTCTCCATACGTGTTGAATCCGACGGAAGTGCTTATTCACCACTTCGGGCGCCTTTACTCAAAACGGAGTAAGGGTATTATCAGAAGCCAAGTATATAATATTCCACAAACCGCCGGTCGTACATTGCTTTGAACGAGTCGCATGTTTTCTGCATCGGTATCTCACCAGGTTGTGCGGACCGCAACAGTTGTTGTGCCGAAAACAAACACCTTAGCCAAAGTCTCTATCCGTGTGGGAAAAGTCATGGATGACGTCAAGGATGTGTTTTACTCTGCTGCCGTGCTCGGCCATTGAAAGGCTATAGTCATGCCCAGAGGAAGAGAACAGAACAGGAACAACACGAATCTTGGCCTGCCTGTGGGCTCTCTCCCACCACCAAAATGTCTTGTGTGTCGCTTGTGTAGGTCGGTCCTTTTCGTGTGAGTCACTTTGTTGGATTGCCAACTTATTGAATCCGTGCGATCATCAATCACCCCCACGACGACGGGTGACCACTTGTTTTTGATCCCACGTTTATGTGTACGCTTTGCAACTAACCAATCTCTAGATGGGCCTCAAGGTAGCCGCCGCAAGAGAAAAGGAAGAGCGTGTGAAGGAGGACGCAGAGCTAGACGCTGAAGATGGTAGAGGAAGGCAGCAAGAGCAGCAGCAGCGCGTGGTCGAAAATCCATACCCCTAGCGTATTCCACATGCAGCATGCAGAGCCGCATGATGTCGTGATGCCGACTTGTATATTTACTTCATAGTAGTAGATGGTAGAAGATACAGCCGTATCCGTAGAATACGGGCGGGAAAGCGCGTGGGAAGGGTTATTGAGGAGATCAGGGCCAAGCATGTGATCTAGTGCAGACAACGCAGCACGTTCGGCCCTCCATGAAACTGGTTGCTTTGAAATGTCGCCTTAGATTACACGGTTACCGATGCCTCCGGGACGACAAGCATTGGGAATTTGTTCAAGAGCCTGCTGGTCCTGAGATGTATGTACGTTAGGCTAGATAGTAGACGGTCGGACTAAGAGAGGTCAAGACCGCATTGAAAACATATTTTCTCTACTGGCGTAAGGGAGGGGCCCTCATTTTACCAGAAACAAAGCTTAATGTTGGTCAGAGAACGGACATAAGTGCATTTTCTCATTTCGAGCGTTGAGGATAGTCTTCTGTACCAGTCGTTGCTTTCGTGACAGTCTTTCAGTCACACTGGTTTCTTTTCTAGGGTCCATCGAGTCCATCTACTTGAGACGAAGCCCAAAATTCGGGGGATGGGAAGCCGGGAGGATGTGGTAGTTGTGGCGTAAGTCTACTTGACACCACATGCTTGACTTTACGTCAGGGGCATCTTGGAGGCCGGCATACGAAGGTGCTATAGCTAACACGCAAAAAAATCGAAAGTGAGCTCACGCTGGTGTGTTTGACCATTCTGTGAAGTACTTTTTTGGAGCGTTTCGGAAACAACGCATCACTGCTGTTCCTCGTGTGTGATGCCACCAAAACTCTGGGCATAGCTGTACTGCTATCCTGCCCCACGTGGACACGGGAGGAAGCACAGAGTACAAAGCTGGGGAAAATATTCAAACGCATGATAATTGGGGACACGCTACGAAAGTGTCTTGGTCGATCCCTCTCTCTCGCCTTCGTCTCTGGTACAAAAGATAATGCCCTAAGCTCCTGGCTGTGTGAGAAAGAAAGGGTTCCTGTCCCCCATCTCCCAATTTCTGTGGCAATGATCAACCGCGCTCACGATCGAAGAAGCCACAGCGCGCTATGCACCTGGTTGTTTCGTATCGCGGTGAAGCGCCGTGATTTTCCTTTTTGTCGCACATGCGCGCTCGACTGTGCGACTCGCAAGCTTCGCCACCATGTACGGCAAGCAGGGGCATCTCCCATACGAGTCGTTAGGTACCGACGACGACACATTCGCCACAACAGAGCACCACAGGAAGCCCGTTTCATCCATCGTTCGACGTGTAGACTATACGTGTAGACTATGCCACCCCCTCCTACGTGTGGACTATGCCACCCCCTCCTGCATGAACCCTCACCATGCGCAGGTCGATGAGCGATGGCTCCGGCCGTGCTCGACAATGACAACAACCAGGCACAGGGAGGTAGCACACCAAACACGTCAACTACTCCTCCAATTTGCACCCTAGAAAAACCGCGCTCTCCCGCTAAATGTACCCGGGCACGACCTGTGCCGAGGGACTGCCTTTCCAGCCCTTTGATCTTCGCACTCCGCACGCCCTGTTGGAGTTGAACTCCAGCCCCACCGCTTGTGCAAGGCACTGCCCGAGACCGTTGATCGCCTGCGCATACCACAGCAGCCACATAAAGGAAACGAACATTTGGAGGCGGGCGCGGGCGCGGGCGCGAGGAGGGGTGCATGGGTTGGGTATGCCACAACAGGAAGCTTGAGCGTTCGATCTGAGAAATAACGGAACTTAAAGGGGAAAACAGTTGCACAATAGGTGGGTGGTACGTGTCTCGCCATTCGACAATACAGCACACGACCTACAGGTCTTACACGCGTTCCTCCTTCGAAGAGTCATTCCCACATCAAAGCCTCCATGGTTTCGGCAAACACATGTTCGACTCTCAAGAGTCGTACTGCTGTCCTCCTACTTCACCACACCCCCGTACATGCTTCTCCCACCTCGTCCGTCCCATCCACATCGGCGGCCGCTCCCGTGGTGCGGTAGCCAACACGTGCCAACACCGTCAACGGCACGTCTTCCAGCCTGCAGAGTCGCACCAGGGTCGTGAGGAACGAATCGGCGATTCGGGCCCCGGTGGGCAACGACGGAAGGGTAGACAACGAAGCCGGCAAAGGAGAGGAGTTGCTGTCCACGCCGCCGCAGGAGAAAGTACACACAGCGTCCGGTGGAATGGTTGCTGCTTCTGCCGGGATCTGGCCATGCCAGCAGAGGAATGAATTGTTTATTTTGGGGAATAAGAAAGGAAGAGGTCGGCGGACGGGCGTCAGGACAGAAGAGAGAAGGTCACGAGTGGTGTGAGGGTGTTCGTTGTTTTATCGGTGTGTGTACGTGGAAGAGAGACCGAGCGAGACATACATCAAGCAAACAAACGGTAACCGAGCTGCTTCTCCGTGACGGGAAAACGAGATGGTAAACCAGCTCGCCTTGTTTGGCAGCACTACAGCAGTACCGTCATCTTCATATCATGCCAACAAGGGACGGGCACTTGTAACAGCCCAGGAAGCTCCAATCGTGCTTTTATAGCGCAGGTTCGTCCATGCAGCGCAGGGGTGCACACCTCAAATCAGCAATGGTGATGGCTATGCCGAGCTTTCGTCGGGAAAAAGGCAGCACAACAGGCGCAATCTAAAAGAGATCAGGCACGTCCATCAGCCCAATAGGGGGGTGTTGTTGTTCGATCCACAAAAATCACCTGGTGCCTCTTGGGGGGCTGCACAGCAGCTGCGATGATGAGCCTGTCCAGGGTCGTTCTTCGCGCGACGAGCAAGTCGACGAGAGATAACGACAACGATGCCGATAGGCCCTGGCCAACCGCTGTGTTGAGCTTAAGCAGGGTGACGGACGGCTGAAACCGGGAGAAAACACGCGCAAAGAGGCGAGATAACGCAGCAGGCAGACCCCGAACGGCGGGAGGGAGAAGAGTAAAAACGAGCATAGGCATATTTCGCAGAGGTTGGTTTTCTTAAGGGCACAGGGAACAGCATAGTGGACAGGAGCAAAAACATGAAACGCGATGGCAGGTAGGCGGAAACAGGAAAAAAAAAAAGGGTGTCAAATGGAGAGTAAGCACTCACAGCCAAGCAGCAGTGCTCCGCTCGAGCAACAGAGAGACCTGCGACACATGTATAGTACGCACAGCATGCCGTTTGAAGCACAACCCGAACCTAGTCGCGGCCTGGCATACGAAACAACACGAACCTTCACCACAACCACACCTCGTCAGTACCGCCAGCCGAGCTTTCGAAGTGCACGGCTTCCAAAGCTGGAACCCCATCGAACACCGCAGCCCCCATGCCCGAGAAAGCGAGGGCCTCCCTCCCGGTCTCGCGTAACCTCGAACAAGCCCCTTCGCCCGTCATCTGTGATGCCCCCGACATGCCTTCAAGAACGCCTTCCGAAAGTGGGTTCCACAGGGGAGTCATCGTAGGGGACGGTGGCATTCCACCGGTGTTTCGGTACGTGGACAGAGCTCTTCTTTTTACGGTATTCTTCGAATTTGAAGAAATTATACACATGACAATGCAGAAACATTAACCCGTTCGAGATATAACCACATCTTTTCGTTTGAAGTGAACTCAAAACAGACGTTGTCCTCCGCGTAAAGCCTCACTCGCGCCCTCGCACGACACACCGCACTCCCCCACAACTTGTAACTGCAACAAGACTCCGAAACACAACAACGCCTGGACATGACAACGTGCCGCGGCACGTCAACATAGGAACCCAAACGCCATGTGCAATTCAAAACCGCCAGCACAACGTGGGTGGAAGTCACACGTGCCATGACTTCAGGCGCCGCGTGCACGCTCGTTGTGCCGGCAGCTTGGGATCGCACATGCGTTTTGGGTTCTCTGGTGTTTTGGTCTTCTGTGCTGTCTGATGTAGTGCGTGAGGAAGATCTGGTCTACTCGGCTACTCTGTACTTCCGTCGGAAAACAGCAGGTCCAGAGCCCTTATGGTGTTGTCCGACTCACTTGTTCCACAAGCGCGGTTGATATCGGGACTTAGCCAGTGAACAAGAAAGCAGTAATTTATACGCCGTACGTACATTGTTCATTGTAGGAACGACGTAGGATATCGTACACCCTGGACAGATGTTGGCGGCTCGACTACTCCACGACGAACGACGAAGAGGATGCCTCAACCAAAAAATCACATTTTCGGAAACTTCTCGACGAGGCGATTCCAACGCGGCCATTTTTGGTACCGCCACTCTGCTGTGGGGTTATCCAGGTTTGAAAACAGTGCAAGGGGGTGTGATATCTCACGTCAACGGCAGTCTACACTTCAGGAGTGCTCCGTAGTCTCTAGAAAGAAAATGCTTGTGACAATACAGTATTATGTACTCTTTGCGTGAAATTTGTTCCTTTAGGAGGTCAGCAGAGAAGTGTTACATAGTGCTGCGGCTGTTGGCATTGTTGTTGTTCGTGCAGCCTAGTGCTGGTTCGTGTTCTGGTTCGTGTTGGTGCTCTAATCGCACTACTGTGTAGTCTACTGTTGTAGCTGCTTGTAGCGTATGATGAACTCAAGCACTCACGAACGCCTGCCGCGCCGATGTCACAGTAGCCCAGAATCACAGTTTTGCCCAGCCGCTTCGGCGCAGAGAGTGTAAAATCCGCCATTTAGTATCCAAGAGCCTCCAGAGCCTGGACTCTGGAATCACAGCGTGTAGACGGAGGGAGATACAGTAGGGCCGGGGGGGCAGACAGAGCCGGGCAGAGAAGCAGGAGAGCGGAGCCAGATCAGATTATTATCAGATTTAAACAAGGGGGCTCGCAGAGCGTACTCGTCTACTGTTTTCTACATCCTAGGAATGGGTAGAGGTTGTGTGCCCCCCAGCCAGCACGGCCACGGCAAGCTGGGGTAGCACATCGCCTACTGCTGCTGTTGACGGACACCCGCTGCAACCATGTCGAGGCCATCGCGCAGATCTTCCCCTCGGCAAGAAGGAAATGTAAGTACGCTGATTGAATGGCGTGCCCGATTGTGCATATCGCACATCACGCACACACGCACACACGCGAGAGCGAGGCGGGCTTGGAACTTTGATGTCATCCCCAGCAATGCAATGCAAATATGTCTCCAGACTACGAAGCCAGCCTGTGCAAGGCGTGATGCAGGGCGAAAACGAACAGCAATGTTTAGGTGTCTCTGCGTCAAGCGCAAACAAGAGGCTCTTGCCTTCGGTGTCCATCGTGGCCGTACGCGAAAGCTGTCTATTATAGCGTATTTCGTGCGTGCATAGCACCAGAGCAGCCAAGCGAGAGGACGTTCCATTTGATTTGATCATTTGTGAACATTGAACGTATGCCGGGGTGATTCCGCAACATGGTCCGCAGATGCGTTTCCGCAAAAAAAAGGTTCTTCTCTGACTTTCTTCTTGTAGTCTACACAGCAGCAGAGAGTAGGCGACGCGGCGGCACGAGCAGCAGCAGAGAGCAGAGAAAGGACAAAACGTCGAGGGAGGTTCGGCGTTGGTGTTGTGTGAGACGAACGCTTCTTGTGGAGTTCAACCACGCCAAAGAATCTTAAAACACTTCTCCACACAGCACCTTTGGATGCAGGTATCGAGTGGAGTGCGGAGTTGTGAGGGTCGAAGACAATATGCCCCCCCCCCCCGCCGCCGCGCGCGCTCGCTCGCCCTCTCTCTCTCTCTCTCTCTCTCTCTCTCTCTCTCTCTCTCTCTCTCTCTCTCTCTCTCTCTCTGCAACCCTTTTGCGGTGCACAATGGCCCGTACCTCTCGAAACTGTATTGACAACACACAGCCAACCACAACAGCAGAAACCAAAATGTTTATGGGTCTTTCCTGAGGACTGCGCTGCTGTTGTTGATACACCTTCGTTTGTGACAGAAGATATCACACCCCCTGGACCCGATCTTCAAGCTCGATTTTTTCACCAACAGCAGAAAGCTTGGAGATGCCGAACGTGTTAGCGTTGGAACCGTCTCGTGGAGAGCTTTCCGAAAACGCATCGTCTGATACATGCACACCCTCCTCGTCGTGGCATGCACAGCAGTCGACCTGACAATCGGTCCAGGGGGTGTGATATCTTCCGTCACCAATGGTGCTGCTGCTGCTGGTGTGTGTTCAAACAACGGCGTAGTATGCATGCGTGCTGACATGGACGTCAACCTGCCGCATTCGCGCCGTTTTCGCTAGGTCTCTCGCTGCGCCAAAGACAAGATCAACAAGAAGGCGCGGCTGCCAGCTGCTGGCACCGCCGCCGCCGCTGCCGTCGCCCCAGCTTGCATGAGCGACATCGTGGTGGAGAAGGAGCTGCTGGCCAAGCTGGCGCTCCACAACACGTCGTGTGCGGGCTGCGTAGCCTCCGTCAGGGCCTTGCTTGCGCGTCCGCTGAGGTACCTAGAAGAACGCACGTGTCCAAGTACGGATATAGAAACAAAATGATGACTCCGAAAAAAGGGGGGTTATTAGACTTCCTTCCTCCTACTCTATTGAGAGCAGGGTGTGTACTGCTGTACAAAACTTTCTCTTGTTGCAGGCGTGTGGCTTTGCACGTGAGACGATTTGCAATCCGGGGATGACCCCTCTTCACCCCCTTGTGGAACACCATTGCTTCGTGTCTGTGTGCTCGTGGGGGGGGGGGGGTGATTGATTCTTCGGTTTTGGTTTCACTTCTTGGACGAGCCCCTGCCGCCCTTGATACACGTGTGAGTTGCGCCGGCAACCAAGGCCGATCGTTCCTATTAGCTTGGAAGGGGGTCGCGCGGCTGCCGGTGGATCTGGCGTTTCATCTTTTGTCAGTGTTACACACATATATATATCGTGCTGAACCCCCCATCCTTGGACCGTGCTGACGGTCTCGCTGTCTGCCTTCTTGCCTCCGACTTCTGCTGGACCTCTCTTGTTGACGTGCACGCCAAAATGGCCTGCGGAAACGACAACGATATGTACAGCGAGCTCCGGATGCTGAAAGCGGTAGTCGACGAGCACGGCGGCAACGGCGGCGGCATGTCGGGGGCTTTCCGCCTGAAGGAGGCGTACGTCAAGGACCCCAAGAGGATGGGGCAGCTCCTCGACACGTTCCCGATGTCCTCCGTGCTCAAGAAGGTGAGTGCTTCGCTGGAAAAAGTTGCAAAAGTTGCATGTTTCGTTGGTTGATGAGACTGCTTTTTGTTGGAGGCGGAGCATTGGTTCGACAGTGTCCGAACCACCGCACCGCCCCAAGTGTTTCCGACGTATATGTTATTGACCCAGTAAGGGTGTTCTTCATCGATGGAGTAATCCCCGCGAGTTTATAGAATCTGGGTCTGTTACGCACTGTCGCCATAGTTTAGGCGCATCAATCTCGCCGCAACACCGCTTTCCCGCAGCTTTTGTTTGGAAATTCCCACCGAGATGCTCAAACCAAACCTACCAACAGCAGCAGCAACAACAACGGAGGGTGAGATTGAATCAGGGTTTGTCCATCATTGGATACTCTCTGCTGTCGAGGATTCGTGGTTCTTGAAATGTGTGTACGTACGTCTTTGTGAGCACAGATATTTCTTGGTGCAAAGGAAAGCTTCATCTGCCGTTGACATGTCCAGGGTGGACACCTGCCCCTTGCACGCGAGGGTTGGCGCAGTTTTCTCCAAATACACATAAAAATACTTGCTTGTTTTTCTCAGGTACAGCCCATGGGCTCGGCCCAGCGCTGCCAGCTTCACCGACGCTTGATCTCCCTGTCGCTAGCCGGGGTGGGCTCTGGCGGGGGGCACCGCGGAGGAGACGGGGGAGGGAGCGGTGGGACCGGTGGTGGCGGCAGAGGAGGAGGAGGCGTTGGAAGCGTGGATTCTTGGGACTGGGAAGACGCTTGGGAGCGAATGCCTCCCAACTTGAGGGTAAAGACTCTCTAGTGTGTAGGGGATTAGGGGGGGGGGCAGAGG